AACTATTGTGGAAAAATGTATTCTTAATTGCCTACGTAAGTCTGAACATGTCCCCACTCCCAATGTTGTTTCATTAACTTTGCTGTTAAAGGGACCCCTGACAATTAAGTCCAGTCGCGAACGACTCTGGGGTTAGAATCATAGAATCATAGAGTTGGAAGAGACCACAAGGGCCATCGAGTCCAAGCGCTCATCTCGCTTTAAAGGCAGAGGAAGCCGGCATTTGTCCGCTTCCGCAGACAGTTTTTCCGGGTCATGTGGCCAGCATGACTATCGCAAGCCCAAGTGGCACAGTGGTTTAACCCACAGCTGTTACTTTTAGTTAAAGGTGAAGAAAATGCATTGCCTCCTTTAGCCACTGTGTGTCACCATTATACTAGTAGATAGTTGTTCCATTAGGCAAGTAATTACTACATACATGTAAGGACCACAAGTCCCAGGCTTGAGTTACCTCACATCTGAGAGACAAGCAGGTGCTGTCTAGCTACCCCTGTACTGAACTACCACAAAGGGTGGGTGGAGAAGCTTTAAAGGGCAGTATAGCAGGAGGCAAGAGGGAGTAAACCCTCACTGCCCCAATTTTTTTTTTAAAAAAGAGAATCCCATATCCCATACTTATGTGGGAGTAAACCTTGCTGAATTTACTGGAGCTTACTTATAAGTAGACATGTCCAAGACTGCACCGTGAGTCTGTTCAGTGTGCTCATTTTATTTATTTACTAGCATTTAAAAACCACTTAAGATTTTGAACATCCATTTTCTAAATCACTGAGTATTTTAAAAATAATTTCTTACAGCACCTGTCAACAATGCCATTCTTCTGTCTACGTAAGACAAACAAGTCATTCTGTACAAAAGAAGAATAAATGGACACAAGTCAAACAAAGTCCACAATTAAAGGATGATGTTTCAGTTTCCCACCTCTTTTCAAGATTCAGTTTTAGTTTCTTGTCCCACATCCAGCCCACCACTGCCTGCAAACACTGGTCTAGCACCTCAGCCGCCTCTTCCGATTCAGAGGGAACAAGGTAGTTTCTGCTACTGTTGGCGTGTGTTGTTATTTTAATGTAATTTGTATTTGTTTTTTAATTTTGTTATTTTTTATAACTCTCCCTGGGACCTTTTGGTGAAAAGTTGGCTAGACATACAAGTAATACATCCATAAATTGGCACCATCCACACAGTGGCATGTCTTTAAATGCTTTGGGAAAGACAGAAAAACCATTCTCATACCACAAGCTGTAATGGCTGAAGGATTCAAAGACTGCTGAAAGACAAAAAGGAGGGGCAATGAGATGGGGGAATATCTTCATGCCAGTGGCTCTTAGGATAAATTGGCATGGGGGGGGTTGAGGTCTCAGACCTACCTATGGATCTCTTTCCTTGTGGAGCTAATGCCTCCTCCACCCCCTGTCTCAGAAGAATTAATTGAAGGGTGGGATATTAATACTCTGAATAAATAAATTCATCTCACTACTAATTAACTATGCTATAGAGTTCCTAAACATCAGCGATAAGAATGCAGGGGAAAAGATGCTTCCCTATCAGAGAGTGTTATTTATATACAAATTTGAGCCCTGTTCCAAGTTATGGCCCCTGCAACAAGAAAATGCATGTACCTTTTGTACGAGAGAGAAAATATGCTCCCATGTATGCAACTGCATGTTATCTTTATTCAAGAACTTTATGTAAGTCCATTTAAAAATAGAAAGCAAGAATATATTTTGGCCAAACTTCGCCATTTAAAGTTTGGAAAAGTCCAGGAAAAAATATCCAGCCTTTCTTCCTAGAAATCCTGTGATTTGTTGAAGTGCTCCTTAGCTTGGATTCATTTCCCTTGCTCTGCATTTATTAGTGTGCTCCTATCTTGAAGACATAAAAAGCAGACACTTTGGTAAGCTGAAGGAGGGAAATAGTCATTTTCTTTCACTGCTTCAGCTATCAGAGCTTCTACATACCGAGTAATTCAGTCAATGTTATTTGTAACTTTCTGACAGGGCAAGAGAGTGGGGAATAGACTTCTGAGAAATACAAATGGTTGAATCATTTACAGATTGGCAGAAAATGTACTGAGGAGAATAATGGCACTGGGGAAAAGTAATGGACAAGATGACCCCCATGCTTTCCCCTCTCCTATGATTGTTGCAGTTATCCCTCAGCGCACTAAGGCAGAGCCATCTTCCCATTCTTTCAAGCAGCAGTACAATGTCGGCAATGTCCATGCTGAATCAGAACTGATCTTTCTGTACAAATGCAGCATACTTAGCAAGACAGCTAAGAGTGATCACATTTTAAGACTTGCTCTCTCTCCCCCCCCCCAACCTCTGCCTTTCAATTGCAAGTGCTCAGTGCAAGTATTGTTGGCAGATGGAGAGAGTTCCTGGCAGGTTAGAGATAACAAAGTGCTTGTTTCTCTTGAATTCAAGAGCGTGTCAAATATTTTAACAGCTAAGCCAATATTTTTTGAAGACTGGGCAATTTTCTTGTCAAACGTATAGGAAAGTACATATTCCCTCCATGAAGATAAAAATCTCTATTCATGTAGAAAGCCTCAAATAAGTCTCCCCCCCCCCCAAAGCTTGCCTATCCTTTTTGATGGTAGCCCTAGGACATGGGTAGGCAACCTAAAGCCCATGGGCCGGATGCGGCCCACTCACCTTCTAAATCCGGCCCGTGGACGGTCTGGGAATCAGAGGTTTTTACATGAGTAGAATGTGTCCTTTTATTTAAAATGCATCTCTAGGTTATTTGTGGGCCCTGCCTGGTGTTTTTACATGAGTAGAATGTGTGCTTTTATTTAAAATGCATCTCTGGGTTATTTGTGGGGCATAGGAATTCATTCATTCCCCCCCCCAAAAAAATATAGTCCGGCCCCCCAAAAGGTCTGAGGGACAGTGGACCGGCCCCCTGATGAAAACGTTTGCTGACCCCTGCGCCTAGGACAATTTCAGGCAGGTCCCAGTGCTGTAAAAATGGTTGTATTTTGCCTGGAGATCTTCGGATAAGAAGTAAATAGGTCTAAATACTAATACTAATAATGAATGCCTTTGGGCATGTGCAGATTACTTCCCTAGAGAGGGTGGTGGTCTTCAATGGCCATTTCTTTTATTTTAAATAACCTCTATGTTGCACTCTCATTTTACATCCTCTTCTCTGAAAAGCAGAAAGATAAAACAGCGCTAAAAATTATCCCGGCAATTAAGGCAGGCTAAACAAGTAGTAAGGGCACCTTTCTATAATATGTACTTCCTTAGTAATGTGAAATCCCCTTTATTATCTCCCCCTGTATTGTAGCACCCTGCTTGTGGTTAACGCTTAGCTGGAATGAAATATTCAATGCAGCAACAGAGAAATTAAAATAATAATTTATTTGTCTGACAAATAAATGAGAGGCACAGTGGTATATGGTTACCAAGCTCTGGCCTGGCCTCCTGCCATTATGGCCAGCACTTATATTCCCTTAATCCAGCCCCCTTTGCTCCTCCTGTGGCTGCCTCTGTCCAATCAGCCTGGTTGAAATTCCTATTGGCTGATTGCTATAACCAATCCTAAAAGATACACCCATATCCTCCTGTCCTTATATGGAACACAAAGAGCTATATATTGTTCTATCTATAAATGACAAATAAGTAGTAATATATCTTACATGTGTCTCAACAAGGAATCTTAATTACCAGCTCACCTCTTGCCCTCCTTGCCCTATGGTTAATAATTTTAAATTTTTATCTTGAACAGATGTCAGAGACCTTGGGTTCATATTCTCATGCATCATCAATGAAATATCTCCTTTTGGAGGTCTTTAAACAAAGGCCTGACAACCATTTGTCATGAGTGCTCGATTGGCGTCTCCTGTCTGGCAGGGGGCTAGGCTGGTGGCTGACTTAATTTCAGGATAAATACAACTCTTACAACTATATGAAATAAGAATCTAGCATTTCTTAAATCCTTTGCATAATTACATTTAAGCCAGCATATTTCATACATTATCATAGATAGCTTTTTAGAAGGATAAACTTCCTCAAAGTGAAAGGAAGGAACAGTTTACAGCCTCAAAATAAAATAGGAAAAAAGCCTCTTCCCCTGTTTACACTCCCCCCTTCTCCAGCCAGTTGCTTTGTTTTCCATGTGCTCTTGGCCTTTTGTCCTGTGGCTCAAGTTTAACGGTTTTATTTTACTATTTACCAACTCTTAATTATGTTGGGTCTATGTAACCTTGCTCTTAACCTGTAATTCCCTTTTTACGACTTTGAGAATTGTTTTCTGCTATAAATCAAGGGGGGCCCCTTGTCTAGGAGGAAAACATTGCCAAGGTTCTCTAAGCAGCTGGTCTTCTGCCTAGCATGAAACATTTGAAAATCTTTAAGCTCATTTTTAGAATTTTAGGAACCTGATCAAGATATAAGCCAATATAAGCCTTGATTAAAAATGCAGTCTATATTCAGATGCCTCAGTATCTTAGTTAGTTTTGTTTTCCTTGTGATTAAAGGTTGAATGTAAAAAATAAAAGTCAATGCAGAGCAGCCTTACTATTGTCCACAATGGCAGTCATATGGGGTGTGGTGCATGAGGACCCACAATCTTGAGGCCCCTTCCCAAACTCAAAAACCTTATTAAGTTATAATATACAATAATCCTGACATATGGGGAATAGAATATTCTATTCATATGTGGTAGTTATATAATTACTTTGGTTTTGGGGTTTTTTTCCATAGAAATATGCTGTGTCAATTAGTATTATGTATAATGAAGTATGGATACTTAACTTTAGTCCGTTTAATCAGTTGCTAATCCCCAGCCACTGCCCGGCCTCTCGAGAGCTTCCCTCGAGGGCTGATGCCCTTCCTTGATTTCTTTGTAAGCAGAGCTGTGTATCGCTCACCAAAATACCTATCTTTCAAGAGGTGCCCCACTTGTTCGGCCGTAATCCATTACAAAATTAGAGAGAGAGAGAATTGGTCACATTCAGTTAGATGACACCATGCCAATAAACACAAGGCTACTTAAAACAGTTTTGAATTTATTTGTTGTATAAAATGCATTTGTTATGACAGTAAGGCACATGTACACACCAAACAAGTATGTTTACGCGCAACAATATGGCATATTGTCAAAAGGCTGCCCACCAAACCTGGGTCTGCTGTTGCCAGCAACAGCCAGTGTAGACTATTCTAGTCTGTATAGCTACAAGGCATGATCAACTCGGGCACTGCGAGCCCAAAAAAGGGAAAGAGGTTAACGAACTACAGATCCCTTCCTTAGCCCATGGAAAGTCAACAACATTGCTGCTTTGCAATGTGCTCAGTCTATTCCACCAAGGAAGCATATAAGAAGAAGGGGGGAGGGACTGTTATCCAATGGCACTTCAAACAAGTGTGAGCAAAAGCCACAACTCAACGAATTAATGCTGGGAATGCAACATGCTGCATCATGGTGGGCTTCTTTTGAGGAGTCATGTACACAAGACCGTCACATATATCAAAGTTTCAAGCCTGGAATGTTCCTCTACCACCACATACACACTTATTTGCACTGCAGAAAAGTGCTTCCAGAGCCAGCAGAGGATGTGAAGTTGTCATGATCTGACCTATGGTGCAGGCTGAGGGCTTGCTTGTGCCATACCATGCTTGTTTTTCATGCCTCCAACCTGGTGCTACAGTCCCACAGGAAGAAGCATCACAAGTGTTCTGTGCAGACCTGATGTACCCTGAGGCTTACGTTTTCCTTTCCCGTACTTTGCTAGCAAGGGAGATGTCCCATACATTCATTGCCACATTATTTCTCAAGTGCTAATACACGATAAATGGCACTGGCCAAAATAAATCATAATTATTTCCATCACCACCACCGTTGCCCATCCCTGGTCTCACGGAAGCTGCCAGCACCATTTTAATGTGTCAATAAATTTCTACACGCTCCAAAGACCTGAACTTCACATTAGAAAGTCAAAAGTAAATCCAAGCTTTCAACACGAGCAAAAAAAGTTTCAGCTGATGCTGTCAAAGCAGAAAATTGGTATTGAAGACTACTGGAGCATAAGAGAGCAAGTGTCGCGAAAGTTAAACAAAATCCATAAAGTGTAGAAAGGAATGTTAAAAAGCTAAACACTGTGTAATAAGATCTGAGATTAAATGCCGTAGCTTAGGCACAGAGAAACCAATTTCAAGATCCACTAAGGATCCATTCTAGGAAGAGGTTCAAGAGCAGATTCTGAAGTGGGGGGGGGAGGGGAGGACTAGTAAAGCATATTTTCATGTTAAATCTGCACAGTTGGAATTGCTCTAGTGTACAGTCCTCTTTCCACATGATATTTTTCCTTCATGTAGATAATCTCAGTGTAAGAAAAAGGTGAACCTAGGCTGCAGCGCAACTATTTTACTGAGGCTTGTAAGCAATGTGTGCAGGTTTGTGCTTTCATAACAGACCACACTGCACCTCAGAAATTAACCTACAAATCTGCTTTATACCGTCAAACTATTGATCCACCTATGTCTATATCCAATTAATTAGAAGTGTCCCTCCATAGGTATTGGCTGCACTAGTCCCCCCCCCCATAGAAAGGCATCTGATAATCCATATTCTTTTTTCATGTTGTATATGAAGTGGACCAATAGGTTTTATAATCAGGGAAGCACTCAGTAATTTTATATGTGAGCACAGGGTTAAATTAAATAGCTGAAAGTCAGCTGAAAGATTTCCTTTTAAGCCTAGCCTTAATGGGAAATATGCAGCAAATAATTTCTGGATAACTAGGAAGTATTGAAGACCTTTAAAAATATTGATGAAAATTACTCAGAAGATGGGTATACAATAAGTCGACAGGCTATGAGATGAATCTTCTAATAAACTCCTGAGATCAGTTTTTAATCAAAATCTGTTCATCATGGAGAAACAGAAAGTTTCAAGGGACTGAAGAAAAGTGGTGAATTTTCAAAGACATTATTTTAGAATTATGACCAGATCCACTTATCTTCAATCCTGTGCAATGTAATGAAATAAATTCCAAATATACACAACACTTTTAGCATAAGCTACAGAAGAAGTATACTGCACAAATAAAATAACTAAACATCATTTGCATAACATTCACATGGGTGAGTTAGGCCAATTCAGTTCCACTATGCTACGATTACAGGGAGAGACTAGAACGAATGGGTCCTAAAATGTTTATAAGATGATCATCAATTAATTGCAAACTCACACTGAAATCTTGATCTCTTTTATGCCCTCTTAAATCACACCAACCTAAATGGAACTTAGGTGCGTATTATTACGTGTAGATTTATAACCTGCATATATCAAAGCCTCAGCAATGACAAGGTCTGCTTGCTAGCATAATATAAATCAGTTTCAGATGTCATGAAAAACTTCAGTAAGTAGATGTTCTGTGCTGTCACCAAGTCAGCCAGACCCTCCTTCCCTCTCTCTCACACAGAGAAAATTGCTCCATGAAGTCACACTATTTGTTCCTCTAGCCAAGCATTGTCCACTCTGACTGACAGCACCTCCACAATTTTTCAGGCAGAGGTCTATCTCATCACTTGCTACCAAAGATCCTTTTAACTGGTGATGCCAGGGAATGAAACTGAGACCTTCTGGGTGCAAAGCCCAACACCATGTCACAATCCCTTCCCAAAAGTTCATGGTGGGTGTTATGACTCGGGCAGAGTGACCCAACTAAACCACCCTAGAAAAGAATACCTGATGACAGGCTACTTTGTTCACCCCAGGCATAGTTTAGTTGACTTAGTGTTAAGGAGAACTTTGCTACACATCTCTGGTAGAATGTGTTCTGAAATGGTTATCTGTACAGATCCCAAAATGCAATTTGTGTAGCATTGGGGTTTTTTGTGCAATATGTGCTTGTACATCTTCCTCATGAAAGTTCTAGTTCCCAATACCGCTGTCAAAGTGCAAACCCCTTGTGTAGATCTGATTGTCGGAGAATTTAATTGCAGTTGAAGCTTTCCATAAAGAAGGATGTGCACATATGAACATAACCTGAGTGGTAAACCCATCATCAAAACACACTCATGCTTTTATTAAAATATACTAACTTATTTTCTGGGTCAAGTTCAGAGGAAACCATTAGCGTTTGCAGCAAAAGCACAGTACTAATTGGCCCTAAACAGGTATCATCACTAACACATCTCCCCCTCCCCGAAAACAATTTGCCAATGTTTACACACACATTGATCATGGGGTGAATGAATGTACACATGCTTATGTACATGCAGCAATTTCAAAGTTTAAAAATGTACATTTTAAAATGGTGGACATGGGAACCAAGATCTGACTATTGAAGCGGTAGCTATGTAGTGCCAACCAGATGGTTTATTAGATTTATATACCACCCTTCATCATAAGATCACAGGGTGGTTCACAGTTGATGTTGGATTCCAACTCCCACCAGCTCCAGCCAACATGTCTAATCAGTGATGCTGGGAGGAGAATCCAACATTTGAAGGGCACTGGGTTGACTAACGCTGGACTATTAGATCAGAAATTGATTTCAAATAGGGGAAACTGGGCTTCAGCAGTCAAATAGAAACAATTCAGGCCTTGTTTGCATGCACATCTGTATGCACCTAAGCATATTTTGAATTGCTTTGCAATGCAATGGGCATTACTATCATTCTAAAGTACAATTCCAGTACCACATCAATTCTAATTTCATCTGGGCGTTAAAACATTCAGACACATCATTCAGTCCCTTCAAATTATCTGTGGCTTTAGAAAAACATGATGTTCAAGATTTAGTTTCATTTCATTTTGTGGTTTCTGCATTTCAACAACAACAAAAGTATCATCACATTTAAAAATACATATCCACAATCATGAAACACTTTTGAAATCAAGTGGCTTTTTAAGATCATGAACAAATACAAGAGCCACAAAAAAAGTATCTGGGGATAGATGGAAACAATTCATGGGACTTGTTCTAAAAACAAAAACAAAACCTGCTTGGATTTATAGTTTTTGGAATGCATGATTGAGCCCTGGAAAAACTTGCAAGTGCACATGGAATTAAAATATAGAATTAGTTTTTAAAAATAAATTACCTTTTAAATATAAATTTGCCCGGATGTTTTAATATGTACATATTCTTCAATTGGAGCTACTCCAGATCAAAACAGACTACCTTTTTCAAGGGATTCAAAGCAGTTTTGACACAAGTGAACTGCTTATGTTCAGCAGAGTGAAGGCGGAGGCTGTGACTATTACAACAATGGTTGCATTGATATATTTCTGAAGTACAATCATCCCACTTGGAAGTTAAATGTACTGCGTGCATATACCACGTCTGGCTGAAAGTTGGCCATCTGAATATAGATGGAGAAGTGGGTGAATACCATTGCGGTTTTAATACACCGTTCATCTCCATGGAATCCAGTTTAACTAGCCATGTGTACAGAGGAAGGGAAATCGCTGTAATGAACAGCTTCCAGGCAGAGTACAGCACATGCCCCGCATACCATTAAATCAATGTTAAATAGCACTAATAAATAGATGGTTGGCTAGGCATGAGCTCCCCCACCCACAACCCCTCAGCCATCCAAACGTAATCCAATTTCTGGAAGACCCCTTGCTATAAAAGCTGACACAGCAGGCAATTCGACAGCACAGTGTGTGTGACATTTTCTCTTGGATGTATTTCTTACTGAACATTCTCAAACAGAGCTAGCATGTGTGTTAAACAAGGCAAACTCTGCACCTCACTCTCTGCTGATTAGTATTCTGTAACAGACAGGCTGGATACAAAAAGGCAGACAGCCTCCGGTAGGGCCTGAAAGCTACTCTTTAAGGCAGCATAAAGCCATAGACTGACTATAGGACAGCTGTCTGGAAAACAAATGTCCGTATATTGAATTAATCCACTGGGCTTGTACAAAGTAGTGTGACTCTGCACTAACAACCTTGACTTTTTAAGCGCTGGAATAAGGAACTGAATTAGGTACTTTTAATCATTTGTCATTATAAATCTGGACAAAAGTAACAAGATGCAAGGGAAGATTAAATGATTTCATTTATACCAATCTTGCATTGTTTTGCCACCTGCAACTCTTATCAGTGCATCTTTTAAGTTGTGTTTTTTTTAATAGAGATCATGTAGAATCTCACCTGCACACCTTAATAAGCACCACCTGACATTATGACCCATGCTTTCATCCAAATAACCATTACAGGGCATAAAATTTGCTTAAATGTCAAGTTCTATATGGAATGAAGAGGAATTGGATATCAATTTCACTGACTCTTTCTGCATTGCCTAGAGCAATCTTAATAGATTTCTGAAGAGGAGAAACGAACACGTACAGAAATCCTTAGGCCACCCCCCCCAAATGGAAATCAGGAGTCATCAGAGGAAGTGGGGGCAGCCCATATAATTTAGTGCATTTTTTATAAGTGTGCAAGTCCCATTAGATTAATGAAGGGCAGGGGGACACGTTACCTCCTGGGCAACTTTCCAGAGGCCACATGTCACTGGTGGGCTCAGCAACGAATGTTAATTTTACGTTTGTTGCAGCAGGCTTCAAGGACACATCATTCCAACCAGACAAAAACACTCAAGGAGGGTGCAAAGCAGGTCTGGCAGGGGGTGTGGCTGGTGAAGGGGTCTGGCCCAGATGGAGAGGCCTGAAGGGTTGCATATGGGCCATGAACCTGAGGTTCTGAACTAGTGCCACTGTACAATATACATGCAGCTCCCGGGTCCTTAGCACAACTGTTTTAGTCCAGGTAGGGAGTTGTGCAGCTCAGCAGAAGGAAGCAGGAGCATAGGCCCAACTCTGTGCCATAGCCGGGAGCATGAGCCCCCCAGACCTTCTCTAGCAATTCCACAGCCCCTTCTTGTCTTTGTCACTGCCAGCACCGGTGCCACATGGTGGCTATCCATACATCAGGATTACAGAAAAGGTTATGGGAGGTGCAGAAGATCTAGTAAATGTTAAAGGTGTGCAGATGATTGGAGATGTTCGGATGTTTGAGAAATGCTGCCTCAGACATACAAAATCCCCAGCTTTGACCATCTTCTCTGGATTCTACCTTTTAATTCTGATTTGTGTTTCTGACTCACAAAATCAACAGCAGTACGGTACAATTATCAACAATATAACCGTGTTCTTCTTAAGTCTGTAACCAAATTTAAGAAGCAACACATAGAAATAGAAAGCACCCCTACATGTATGTCAGCACAGATTTAAACTCCAAACTCCACTTATCACTGTTATTTAATTCATGCTGCTACCTCTCCACATAGGAATCTTCCATGTCATGTGTTTTACTCTGCATGTGCACTTTAGCTGGGTGTACCAGCTCCGACCTTGACAGTAGAGTGTTGATACAGACCATTGTGAGGAACTTGGGACTGTAGGTTTGAAATCAGCCCACAGCTGTATATTCCACAGCCACACTTGTCTCTTTGGGTTCTCAGTTTTCCCGTCGCTGTTCTCCTCAGATCATGACACCACACAGTTGGACTGTTTGGCTCTGTCCCCTGAAGGGGAGCTTGGTCTCATTCTTTCTGTATCAGAAAAACAAAATGAACCAAATGTTTCTAATTAAAACATTTCAAGTGTGCTTTTTAAAAAAGAAAATTAACACATTCAGGCATACCCTCTCAGTTTTCCTTTTCCCTTCTGCAACTCATGATCCCTACCTACAGCCCCAGGAAACATATTCCAGAAATGTTTCCATAGTGAAGGCATTTTTCAAACTATTTCGATTGTTTATTCCCAATTAATTTACAAATTTCGTTACGGCACAAAATATGGTCTTTTCAGCTTATTAACAGAGGTGCAGATACCATCAAGGCACCATGTTTAATTACTAATACTTTTATAGACTTGTATGCATTTGAACAGTTCTTGTAAATAAAGCAGAACTTCAGTATTTAAGCATCATATTATATATACAGTTATCAAATGAAGGCCATTGAGAAGGCCAATTCCTTTTTTCAGGATTACTAGAAGAAACATTAACAAAAATGTTTTTTTAAATGCATCTTGTTCAAAGTAAAATTATTTAGATAATTGCAAACTACATTAAAGGTAGTTAAGAAGAATGAGGTAATCACCTCAGGCAGCAGATGCAAAGGGTGAAAGTAGCCTCTCTTGGCTTACCCACCTAGCTTTCCCCTGCCATTCTCATCCTCTATAGCTGGTGCCCTGGAAAAGGCAGTCCCCAGTCCCCCTCCCTCTGTGTGCCACAGACAATACCAGTGAGAATCCCCTAACTGGGTGAGTAGGCAGAAAGGCAACCAGTCCAGGAAGCGCTCTCCACCAGGCATTGCATGCGCACACATGTACCACTTTGTTCATGTGACTTATATTTAGACATTATTTACTTGAATAGTCCGCTGTAAAATTACTAGTTGATAGGTGCCAGGACACTGGTCCATGTTCAAAACTTAAGCTTTAGATTCAGCCCTGGTCCTCCATACACACTATATCAACCTGCCCATTTGGCACCTGAGTTGAGTTGTTCTTTTTGTGCTCTAATTGCTACAATCTAAAACTTTTTTTCACTGCATACACAGAATGAAAATTTTCAACATACAGAAGGCTTTAATAACCTTCACTTTGGATTATATACCTATACAGGCCTCTGTTATTTTCTAGTTTTATCACTAGGGGTTGCTGCATGCCCTCTGGTCAACTTTAATAAAATGTTACAAATGATAAATGATTTTTTTCTCTGCTGTGAATTAAAACACAATGTTTGAATCTGTGCATGTCTTGTGTTATGCAGATTTCAACGCAAAAGAAACAGACTGCCCATCTCCAAGAAGGGTCTCAAAATGTATTAAGCTGAAATGTAAACAAACTTTCTGTGTTACAATTCATACTCCGGTAAAAAAAAAAAGGGGGGGGGTTGCTTCTGACCATCGCTTCCACGCTAAAATGGCAGAAACCTCAAGATATCCAACCAGAGTTTCCTCATCTTCCTATTTCCTTTCCTCAACAGCTGGGAACCTCCCCATGCATATTCCAATTGGGGAAACTCTAGTTACTGTGAGTGATAACCATTCAGTGTTAAAAGACAGTACCTGAATACCTAGAAATATTAGCACAGCTTATGCCCTGTTACCCAATTTCCCATCTTCTCAAATACCATCCAGGTCTGGTGGCCAGCTTAATGTTTTATACATGATATGTGGCTGGCTTCTCACTACAGCTTGCTATATGCCATAGGTCTCTCAGGCTGCCATAGATTACTTCATTGGCAGTGAAACACAAAGTGCTTTCTTGCACTGGCTGCAAGTATAAAACATTTATGCAAAGGCAAGTGGAGCAAATTCTGAACTGTGGTGATTAGAAGTTTCGACAGCCTTAAGTGGGTTCCTTCCTACTGAAGTATCTGAAATTGTTCGGCTTAGTGTATATTGTATTTTGAGACAACTTCACATACTGTATCACCTCTGGGATTCCAATTATTGAACTGTATTGCTCTGATGAATTTGTTGTTTGCTTTATTTATATACTGCGGTGTTAGTGATTGCAATGCTTGTTTTTTAAATGCTACTGTGATTACTGTGAGCTGCTTTGAGCTCAACATTTGTTGTTGAAAAAGCAGAATACAAATATTAAACCAAAGTCTCTAATCCAGGGGGTAGGAAAGCTCAGGCCTGGAGGGCAAGTGTGGCTGGAATGGGTACTTGAACTGTGACTGTGCCTCTTGTTTGCCTGGAAAGATTGTGAGATGTGGAGGGGGGCGTGTATAGAAACTTCTGACTACTGCACAGCTCTCCCCTCTTCCACAGTTTGTGCTGGTTCTGCAGCTCCTTCTATTTCATCCTACACGGCCACTGTTAGAGGATAGGCTAGACAGTGAACAGATTTCACTTCGGAGCAGGGGTAGCTAATCTTTTTTGGACTGAGGGCCACACTGACCCAGGGTCAACCCTAAGGGTCAAAATAGCCGTGGCAAGAACTGCCTTCCCAAGCACAACCATCAGCCATTCTACATTATTTGAAATCATTTCATCACCATTCATTGTTCTATATTCAGTAAAAAAAAATTCTTTTTACTTGACAAAGCAGCACCTGTGGAGACTATATGGAAGCAGGCAGCAAATCTTTTATTTAATTTTAAAAGACTATTATTTAATTTTAATGTAAATTTCAGGGGGATATGGGGCCCCCACAAAAAAACCTTCTGGCATCATGCCATCACAGTAGAAGACCCTCCTGGAGTCAACAATAATTTTTAAACTCATTTTTTAAAAAACAAATGACTCATTAGGAGTGTCATGATTAAAATGCATCTTGACACATGGTTTTAGTAACTTGGCAACCCTAACAAGCAGATGCACTAGGGCCAACTTGTGTATTTGGTAACCTAGGAAGTTAATGCTGGCTAGAGACATTTATGCTTGTGATATATTCTTTCTTTATTACATATAATACTTTTTTAAAATGTGTAAAACCTCTCAAATTCAATGCTATCTTTTCATTATTAGCAAAGCTGTGTTTGTAACCTAGTTTGAAGCTTGGCTTTTGTAAGATATTCAGCCTTGAAGCTGTAGTTACTTCTCAAGAACAATAGACAAGCTTTAGTAGTTGCTTGGAAACCACAGGCATGCATCAAGTTTGTGTGTGAATGGGTTTTGCTAACAGGAAGCATGAAGACCATCAAGTTGGGCCTGTGATGCAAGGTGGCAAAAAGCAGACTTTTGCTATTTTACTATGAGAAATTTTTGTACCCACGCAAATGGAGGATGTTCCCATGCATGTGGAGAGAACATTACTGAGACAATTCATACCTGAATCTTTGCAGAGAAGAATGTTTTCACAAGCCAATCAAATTTATGGATTCTATGGGACAGAACTTTTGCTTCTCGAGATATATGACTACGGAATATCTTACTTTTATGGCTTTATCCACACTTACTTTTCCTATGCGCTTTCCAAGCACGGTGCACATTTTAAAGCTCCAGCACACTTTTTATTGCTCCAGAGCCTTCCCTGCAAAAATTCATTCTTCAAAGCTGAATTGGAGCAAAAGGCAATCTGTAGAAAACCCAAATTGTGGGGAAGGCTCCAGGGTGGGGTGGGGGGGAAGGGGGGGTCCTGGGACACAGAGCTTTAAAGTGCAGACATGTGCCTGGAAAGACCAGGGCAAAAAGTAAGTGTGGATAAGCCCCCAATGCCAAGGCAGAGATTAACCAATTCACAAAAGGATTACAAATTGGGAAAGTATTGAATAGCAGAGATTTCAAAAGACAACATGTGATGGTGGCATTTTGTTTTCCTACCGTTCCTGTTTTTCCTATTTTTGAGGCTCCCTAGCCAGGATCCTCTTTTTGTGTGCATATTTTTCTCCTCCTTTGTGTATTAAAATAGGGTAATTCATTCACTTCAATCTCTAGTCCTCCACTTCCCAGACATTTTCTTCACAGGGGAAGAAATGTCCCAAGCTGCGTAATACTGATTTTAGGCAATAAAAGCTTTGGGAAAAAATTGTCTGGTTATTTGTTTTTGTATTCCCTTGCAAAGGAATATGCCAGGTTGTGGGGTTTTGTTCAACTGGGTATCCTTGCATTCCTTGTGCAAAAAAAGATTCCCAAACTGAGTGTTTCAGGTCAAGCCTGATCAACTTGGCACACACAGCAAGGCTGTTGTTTAAACTTGACTAACCAGCTCCATCCCCAAACTGGCATATGATGGGGAGCGGGGGCAGTAGGAGACTCACAAAAATGTATTGAGGGACAGATGCTGCCCATGGGTTAGCCATGTCTGCTTTAGAGGAAGTAGTTAATAGCTACAGGACTTCGGTCATTAAAAGCTACATCAGTCAAATTGTTGCACTGCAACTTCCACCATCTCTGACCATTGGGCCTTATTGGTTGGAGCGGATGGAGACCGGAGTCCATCAACATCTGAAGGGCCACAGGTTAGTTCCCTCCCCCCCAAAGTTAAGAAGACTAAACAACTGCAAGCCATACTGTAGCCAGTAATTATAAACAAGAAAGAATTGTTGTAAGGGAATTCCAAAAGGCCTCATATAAAGATTCCACAAATGCTGGCTTAGCTTATTACAAGAGACCCTTTTAATGGTTGTTGCTAGCATTTCCCCCTCTAGAATGCACAGCGGGCTTAGGGGACAGGCAGGATACTGCCTCATTTATGCGAGGTTATGAAAAATGCAGGAAAAAACACCACCTGGAGTCTCATTTTAACACTTGTTTCCTTCTCCAAACCACACTGCAAATGAGAGCTCCAGGGAAGGGAAGTGTGTTCTACTGGGGTTCTGTTCATCAGAGGATAGGGACACATGGGGACACACACACACACACACACACACACACACACACACGGTAGATGCTGAGTGGATCTGTCTGCTCTGACATGTCTCATCCCTAACCCCATGATAAAATATTTTGCTATTAACAAAACAAAGACGTCAGAATTTCACCCTTCACCCTTGCAGAGTGTAAGAAAGCAGATTAAATGTAAAAGAGTCAAACAACATAAGAGGAGTCTATTTAAGCCTCAGCTGGTGCATCCAGGGGCGCATTTTGAATACAAATACCTTCCATGATTGTCACAGCAACTCTCTTCCCAGTCATATAAAGGTAAGTGGCATGAAGCACCTCAGTTTTGCTAATAAACCTACATTACACTCACACAACACAGAATGACAATCTGCTTCCTTCTTGGAATCAAAATACCTGATTCACGAACCTAATTTATGAAAGAGAGAGAAATGTGAATTTATCCCATTAGCCCCCTAAATTAAACTCATCTAGAAACAAAGCTATCAGATGAGGTTAGTGTCAGACTTCAGGATTATACTAATACTTGATATAGCTGCCCTCCTTTCACTCTGCCCATACATTGACTGGTCTATCACCCAGTATAGAAGTTTGGGGATCTGAAAGCAGAATAGACAAGGGCAAGCCTTTTCTGAAAAAAAAATCCTGAAAGAGTAACTATTTTGTTGGTAAAAACAAAAAATAAAGAGTCTTCCCCAGGATTATTTACCTGAATTAGCCCCACTACTACGGACGCTGACAGGGTGAGGGCTAGCCTGGCTTCCTTTCCTGTCTTCACGACCACAAAGTCTTCAGCAATATCACTGGCAATAGAACTGGCATCAGCATTGAAGGGTGGTGGCCGCTTGGCCCGTCTGAAAAATCCACTGCCAAACCTCTTGACTGGTTTGGAACCAGCTTCCCCATTGGCAACATCATCCTTCCTGAGGTCACGGATGGACTCCCTGGATTTGGATTTGGATTTTAATAGGGAAAATAGTTTCTGAGGACTCCGGTTTCCTCTGTTCAGGTCCTCAAGTGGAGGCTCAATATCTGGCAGCACTTGCTCCACCGTGATAAGGTCATTCAGAAAAGTTTGTAGTCGCCTATTGGACTCACTTTCTTCTTCCTGTGCTTCTTGAGTCCCTTGTGACTCGTGCCTCTGGCGGGAGGCCCAGCGCATCATTTCCCCTGGGGGAACCGCCACTACCAGTCCATACTTTGGGCTGATGGCCTTCCGGGCCACTGTAGAGGAGGAAAATCCCATTCTCCCGACACCTTGGCGGAAAGGGCATGGAAGGTTCAGCTCCTTGTAGAGGTTGACCTCCTCCGAAATAGCATAGAGTTCACGGAATTCGATATCAAACATCTCCACATGCTGCCCGGTCAAGTACAAGACCATGTTTCTGTCTATATGGGATGAGGTCCATGTGAAACTATCAAACAAGAGATATTGTTGTTAAAGCACTGCAATCAGAAACAGTTACCCTCTCACATCTAAGCTCATACCATCTAGGAAAACATGTCGTAGTAATCAGGAAGCATATTTATTATCCAAGTACATTTGTTAATTTGTAGACACACATAGCAGAGAAAGTACTGTGAAGATAGACAGGTCACAGTCAAACATTTTTGTCATTTCTGTGTATATCTTTTCTCTTATGTCCCTCCTTCCCCTCTTAATCCTGCTTCATATTGCTCACATACTTCTCTTCCTTTCTACCTTTGTTCTGTGTTTCTTATTCCTTCTACATCCCGCTTTGCCCTCATTCTTCCCAATCTTGTGCATTTTTACTTAGAAGCATAGGCGACGTGAGAACAATTCTGGGCTAGATGGACCAAAGGTCTGACTTCACGTGTGAAACTAGGAACAAATGATTAAGCTAAGTTGCGAAAGGATCAGGACACATTTCGTGTTCCAGTTATCAGAGGGAACGTTACATGTGTATATGTAAAAGGAACGGCCCACCCTGAGTTAGCAACTGACCTGTACGATCCAGTAAGAACTTTTTCACCATCCACCATCAGGAAGCGTGTAGCCAAGTTGCCTTGGATCTTCCCTGATGGCATGTAGAACCCAGCTCCAGTCACACAACGCACACGGATATTCTGACAGAAAGAAAATGCACAGTATTATCACTATTATTATTATTATTATTATTATTATTTAGTACCTTCATCTGAAGATCACAGAGCAGTTCATAACATACAAAGACAAAATGAGAACCCAAAATACATAATAAAATTAAAATAAAACAGTAACCTCCCCTCCCACAAACACATGTAAAAGGTCATAGAATGTTAATCAGCCAAAGGCCTGGTTACAGATAAATGTTTTTGCCTGGAGCCTAAAGATATGTTATGAAGGCGCATTCCACAACAAGGGAGCCACTGCAGAAAAAGCCTGTTCATGTGTTGCCACTCTCTGCTCTTTGTGGAGGAGCCACACAAAGAAGGGCCTCAGATGATGATTTCAGGGTCTGAGTAGATTCATATGCCAAGAGTTGCCCCTTGGAGTGTTTTGGTCCTGAGCCCTTTAAGGTTTTAGAGATAAAAACCAGCACTTTGAATTGGGCCCAGAAACTAATTGGCAGCCAGTGCAATTTGGCCAGGATCGGTATAATACACTCAAACAATCTTGCCAAAAGGCGAACAACCTGGGTGCCAAATTCTGCACCAGTTAAAGTTTCTGAACCATCGAGAGAAAGAAAGAAAGAAAGAAAGAAAGAAAGAAAGAAAGAAAGAAAGAAAGAAAGGCAAACTTATTTGAGCCCGGAAAAGCAGTTGTCTTGTGAAGAATGAGAACTTCATGATTAGGAACACCCTAATTTAGGGAAGGTTCTTTGTACCTGAAAAAAGTGGTGATGATTATCAACAATAATAATTTCCATAGTATGCTGAATATAAAAAGTGCTTGACAGTTCTTACTTCATTCCTCTGAACAGCTCTGCAAAAGTAGACAATGGACATTCAAATGTAACAGTTGGGGGAACAGAGGATCAGAGACCGTGCATTGCAAAAGGCTGACCAGATCTATAAAGGTGGAAGTCAGTGAACAAAGATGCTATTCAGCCTTAGAAGAAAGCAAGAGCACCTCTTCATGCAATAAAACTTGTGGGAATCTACAGAGAATGTTTAAACTGAAGAAAGAAAGAATCCGCACACCTTTTTTTTGCAGAGAGAATAAAGCAAATACCAGAGCATTACAGAGCACTGCAGCAAAGGCTGCAATGCTGAGTACAATTATTCAGAAGCAAGGGCCACTGAAACCAGTGATAATAAATCCTGATGCACATATGGACCTCCATCTTTCTTTTCATACAAGATTGCTGGGAACCACACTCTGCCATCATCTATCAATGTTCCCAGTGCCATTCTGAAACAATTTTAGAAGCAACTGGCAGCTGCTGCTGAGTATAGAAGCTTGCCTTCCTTTCATGTTAAAAAGGAAAGGAAAAGGTGGAAAGGCTGCCTCATAAAGTGGTACTCCACTATCTGAAAACGTTGCAACCTTTGCTTGGGTCCCATTAAGATTACAGCAATTCACCCTGCGTCTTCACTGGAGGACAAAGGTTCCAGCGAAGGTGGAGAAGTGACTTTTGCTCAACCCTGCTTACAATGTAAGTCACGTAACAATTCTATAATAATTTTAATGGGTCTGTGACCATACAATAAATCACTGACTGATTCCTAAATAAATAAATAAATAATTCATGAACAACAAGATGTGCGTAAAGTTATGAAATGTGAAACAACCACACAAAAATACTGATCATTAATAGTTCCTCATCATCATGGAAAAGTGACAAGTGAGGAAGTGCAGGCTTCTGTCATGGGCCCGTTGTTATCATGCATCTTTATAAATGACTTGGATGAAGGAATTGAAGGGATGTTCATCCAATTTGCCGGTGACACCAAACTGGGAGGGATGGCTAATTCCACAGAAGGCAGAATTGGGATTCAATATGACCTTAACAGTTGGAGAACCACTAATAATGAATCCCAATAGGGACAAATGCAAGGTTTTACACTTAAGACAGGAAGAACCAACTGCACAAAGAGAAGATGGAGGGGACACCTGGCTAGGTGATCAGTGGCAACAGAAGGTGAAGAAAGAATCAAGTCCTCTATCAAGACAATAATTCTTCAATCTACTCAAAATTTATATTAAAACTGTGCTTTGATACCTCTCAGCTAGGATTCTCATTAATCACAGTGCACATCATCAGCTCACCCGGATATAGAAATCACTCAGCTCCATGCCTTTGCACATTTCCAGGAAAAATTTAGAGCCTTCTTCGTCCAAGATTATATAAACGGGGATCCTGCGCTTGTATGATGCATCTACGATATCCCGGAAGATGTCCCTGTCAGTGAACTGGTCCATGACTACTGCAATGATCTGGCCACGAACAGAAAGAGAACAAGCAGTTATTTTAAAAAGCAATACTGCAATAAGGCAGAGATTTCTGTCCTTATGCCACCAGGGCTTATCACATACACCCATGACACGCTACACGCTATGAAAAACATATGCTTCAACATATTCAGGAGTACATTATTTGACAGCGTGGTTTTTACTGCCTGAACAGACAAGAAAGCTTGTTAGTTCTTGTTCAGAGCCACCCTAGGGTTTTCATTGAGTGTTCCATGTTGAGTAGTGTCTGAAAAACACGGCATTTGCTCTCATCTAAACTGCATGATCTGACTTCTCACAATGATTTGACCCGTTTTCTGGAAGTGACGTACCCACCCACTCCCAAAAACCCAATCTAGTATTCATCCACCTAATAGGAATCACAGTCAACCCCTAATGCAGGATTTAATCAAATATATCCCCCTCCCCTTTTTAACAGTCCTCACCCTCTCAATGAGGTGGAATGTTACAATTGATCCTTTTTAATAATGAGCTCCACCAATGCAGGTGTCCATAACTGAGTGGTAGAGCACATGCTTGGGCATGTAGAAGATCCCATGTTCAATTCCTACCGAAAGGATTAGGTAGAATGTAAGGCAAAAGAACTTGGACTGAGAGCCATTACTCATCAAAGCAAACAATACTGGGCTAGATGGACAGATAGTCTGAACCTCCTGTGGAGGCCTCAAAAATGAATACCGCTGGTTCCATACTGCAATGGAAAAAAAGATTTTAAAGTATGCCCCCCCCCCAAAAAAAGTGTTTTTAAATTGCTTCTTTCCTATCTTTGGGTAGTGATACGTAACATTAAAAGGATTCTTATACAAGTTCTATATAAATGTGTGCATAGGTCCCATGGAATTCAATGTGACTTATACCCAAGTGTAGTGCACATGAGCTCACTTGTTTTTCAGATAGACCACACTATTTTTGGATTAGTAATACTTATTTGAATGAGCATCTATTTTGCTATATTGGCCCATCCTTAATATCTAAAATACATTGTACAGGTTTGTGTTACAAAAACTGTTTGAACTCAAATACTAGCAACACTACTTATTAGTCCTGCTTTGGGGCAGATTGCCATTAGCTGCGTTCTCCTTCTAAATTAGAGGCATTTTCTTTGGAAGTCTTGCCTGTGCAAATCTTGCAGGGCTGCCAATCCTGATGGAGGTCAACTGGGTTTCAGAAAGGTTGGAACTTGTTAAATACTCCCCTTAATGAAGACAGGACTATACAAGCAGACTAGAGGGCCAGCAAGAACAAGTGAGAAACAGGGAGGTGCTCCACAGACCTAGAGGCCAATCTGCACTGCTACATACATTACCTGTTGAGGAAATGCATTACCTTGGAACTTGGAAGCGTCATAGAGCCCAGACACTGCTTATTAAATAGGATCCCTCTTTCTTTGCTCTGGGGGTTTTCATGTACCCTGCATCACTGGATTCTTACAACAAAGGCCACCAACTCTTTTTATGTATTTGGGCGTAGGACTGAGAAACAATGTACTATTCTGCATCCATAGCTAAATTACTTAGCCTTTCTAGATTATGTGCAACTCTAACTAGAGCTTGGTGGTGGAACAGCACACATTTTGTAAAGGTGATGCCTCTCATAAGAGGTATAATAGAATCAGTATGTTTAACAGGATGGCAGATAATCTGGAAGATAAATCAACAAAAGCAAATGGAGGAAGACAAATTTCAAATGAAAATAATCCAGCACTCCCTCTCTCAGCTTCCTCTTCACTGCAGAACTGTACCCTTCTGCAGCATGTTAGCACTATATCAGAAGGAATGGAATCCCAATTCTCCAAAACATTATTTTGAAGGTTATCTGAATGGAGGTCTCTGTCTCACCTGCCTGACTGTTTGTGGTGAGTTTATGGCAGCAGGTAAAAACAAGGCTTTCTTTTAGGATATTCAGATGTTATGGTATTCCTTAACATACCTCAATTCCCAAAAACAGCTCAGATTAAAAATTACTTGCATATGCCTACAAGTGTAGACCAAGTTATTTTATCTCCACAAACTCTGTGATGTAACATTTGTACTTAATATAATCATAGGACTGTATTCCAACAATGCAAAACAGACTACTGTCCTATCCTCTCCAACCCCTCCCCGCTTCCTCAAAATCAGCTCAAGGGGGTTGGTGGACCCTCTAGAGCAGATTGGGGGAGAGGCATGGGAGGAGAGGAAATGGAAGTCACATTGCATGAGTGAAACTCCGTATGCCCTTGCACAGAACTGGCTACAACCCATTGAGGTAGAAGAGATTCACAAGTTATCTAGCATAGCCCCCTGCCAATGAAGGAAATTCAATGCTACAACACCTCTGTTTAAAATTCCCTAACGAGGGAGAGAACACCTCTCTCTATGGCAAAGTTCTTCCTAATGTTGAGTTAAAATTCCCTTGTAATTTGAACCTGCTGGCTCCTACCCTCTGGAGCAACAGAAAATGAATTTGAAGAAAGCTACCATATCACCTCTTAATCATCTCTTCTCCAGGCTAAACACACCCAACTCCTCTAAACTTTCCTCATAGGACTCGCGCTTTAACACAGATAATGGCAGCGAACATCTCAACGCTTCTATAGGAGTAAAGAAGAGCCTTAGGATGTGGTAACATGAGCAATTATTACAAAAGCTGATTGCTCTCTTAAACGCTGGGAGGAGCGCAGAAAGAAGAAATGCCATAGTACTCCTGCATCAGCACAACTGGACGCCTTCATCTGCCCCAGCTGTAACAAAACAGGTCTCTTCTGTATTAGTCTCTACAGCCAGAGCAGGCGCTGTAACTCTCCAACAGCTTGACCTCACTTCTGAAGGCACACTCTTCCATTGTCTCATGAGACAGACAGATGCCATTCTATTAAGAAAGCCGATTACTCTCTTAAATGCAACCACCTTCAGACTGCTGGGTGGAGATTTTCCCGTTTTTTAAAGCCAGCAAAAAATATTGAAATTATTAAAATGAACACACTGTAAACCAGTGTATCAGTGGCTGAAATATACAGTCTTGCAAAGCATCGCTATGGCTCAAGCAAGAATGATTACTCCAGTGGTAGATATTATATAGCACTGGGAGAGCAGGTGGCAGAAAGAGACAGAAACAATATGGGGATGGAAAGAGGGCTTGGTTTTCAAATGACAGGGTATATTCAGAGGAAAATATTAAGCCCCATTTCCAACAGAAGGCAAATTGAGAAGAGTTGGAAAAATTACAGAGTTGAAGGAAGGATGCAACCTTTCCTGGTATCCAAGTTGACTCTAGGCAATTCCCCAATGCTTTGCAAGTACTTCACTAAGACTGTAATCTACAAATCATCCATTCTTAAAGCCATGAAAAATTTAGCTGCATCTGACATTCATGTAACATACATGTATACATCCTATACATTTTTTTTGCCACTGGTCTGAAAAATCTGAAGAGGAAACCTTTGAGTATACTGAGAGTTAATGTGTTCCATTTTAAAATTCCATAGCATCTATATAAAAACTCTTACTAAAGCCAACAATAAAACAGCATTCACAGAAGGTGGAAACAGACTCAGACATAATATTCCAGTCTCCATCCAGTGATCGCAGGTGGGGTTTACTTATGATAACAAATGAGTCTTTAAGGCCTCCCCTAAAACCTGAAGTATAGCTGCCCACTGCAGTTCTACTGAAAGGGAGTTCCAAAGGCATGCAGCCAGTGCAGAAAAGGCAGAGCCAGCCCAAGACATTTTGGCACCTGAAGCAAATCACGAAATGGTGCCACCTCCTCCCAGTCAGGGAAAAAGGAGTAAGTGAAGATCTACATCAGGAACAAGGATGGAAGAAGACCAGCAGCACCTCCTATTGACCAACAGGCCACTGTAGAGGCAGCATGGGGGGGGGCGCTGCTGAACAGATGACAGATCCAACCAGCAGCTGGAACGGGCAATACAGTCCTTGGAGGCTATACCTGCTGCCCCTGTGGATGCAGCTGCCTGAGGTGGTTGCCTCACATTGCCTCATGGGTGGGCCAGCCCTGAAAAAGGCCATCTCTCTTGTGAATGCCCACCTCACAGACCTCGAAAGCAGACACACCAAGAAATCCTCTGATTAAGATCTCAATGTGCAGTGTATATGTATATATGTATCTATGGCTACAAAGCAGATTTTTAAGATGCAATGGCACAGTTCAATGAAGGGAAATATGTCAGCGGTAAAGTACATGATTTGCATGTATGAGGTCCCACCTTCAACTCCTGGCACCTCTGATTGGGGAGGGAAAGTTTCTGGTCTCAAACCCTGGAGAGCTACTACCAATCAGGGCAGAGGAAACTGAGCCAGATAGACCACTTACGTGACATGGTAAGGCATCTCGAGTTTATTTTGATTACTAATGAAGTGGCAAGAGATACACAGAGGCTTCACTGAGCACCGGTTCAATAACACTAAACTTCATCAGTGCACAGTTAATGGAAAAGAACTCATTCCATGAACTTTACTTTGCATTTACTGGCTTCTGAAAATTTCTGAGGCATACTGTTTATTTTTGCATTAACTGCAATAAATGAATTTCCATTCAGAGCGGAACTCAGTCTCAATTATAAGATCAGAGAAGGTCCCTGGAAGCATGCAGTGTCCTAGGGAAAGGCAAAGTAACTCCACTCTCCTGGCCAACAACAAGCATGAGAAACCAAAGTATGTCTGGCACAGCCTACAATGACCCCAGTCCACCGTATAGACCCAGCAGAGACAAGCAAGAGTTAAAAGCACCTCACTTCTCTAAACAAGTATGGAACAATACTCTCAGGTCCTGACAATGAAAGCTCTCTGGAAATGCCTCCAACAACACTTGAGAAGGAAGCCAGGAAAATTGAATAAGGATCAAAATAATCAGGAGGCAGAGAGAAAGGTACTAAGAATTCCCAGCCCTGTTCTACCTGTCGTGTTCCAAGAGTGAGGAGGGGGCAGGGCTAAGCCGGCTTTGGGTTTGTTAGATCCTGAGACTGTCTTACTGCTGCCACTCAATGGCACCAGGCCTCATCACACACCAGCCAGGAGCTGGTGCAGCAATTGGGTCCCAACCCCACCCTCTGCCATGGCCACAATGAGCAGCACGACTGCAGATGCAATGGTGGTCCCACCACTTTGGCCTTAGTTTATTAGTTAATAATACACTGTAGTCATGAACATAGTATATCCATTGCCAGGTTTGTACAAATTTAGATCCTGACATGGATAACCAGCATGTTTTCTCTAATGACCTTTCAGGTTTGGATTAAATGGGCAATGATATTAATTAGCACCAGGCTTGTCCTTGCTTAAACCACTACAGTATCATCCAGTCTTTAGGATCAAAGGGATATCTTAGGATATTGTGAGGGACGCGGGTGGCGCTGTGGGTAAAAGCCTCAGCGCCTAGGGCTTGCGGATCGAAAGGTCGGCGGTTTGAATCCCCGCGGCAGGGTGCGCTCCCGTCGTTCGGTCCCAGCGCCTGCCAACCTAGCAGTTCGAAAGCACCCCCAGGTGCAAGTAGATAAATAGGGACCGCTTACTAGCGGGAAGGTAAACGGCGTTCCGTGTGCTGCGCTGGCTCGCCAGATGCAGCTTGTCACACTGGCCACGTGACCCGGAAGTGTCCCCGGACAGCGCTGGCTCCCAGCCTATAGAGTGAGATGAGCGCACAACCCTAGAGTCTGGCAAGACTGGCCCGTACGGGCAGGGGTACCTTTACCTTTACCTAGGATATTGTGTCATGGAAATCCTGTGAACTATGTTGCTTAATGAGTTATTATACAGAAACAGTTCCCTTTCTATAGCTGATATGAAACCATATAGAGGTGATAAAACATTTCCCTGGCTACTAGGCTGTCAACTGAGGTCCTTTCTCATCAGTCCCACTACTAAAAGAGATGACACTAGGTAATGAACTCCTTTTGAACAATCAGAACAATCAGACACAGGCACTGGTCTCTATATTGTACTTATAAAATTCCTTAATAATGTCTCTTTTGGGGCCCAGAGTCAAAGGTTATGGTGGGAATCCAGTTGGGACATACAGAAGTTTGTAGTCTCAAACTCAATAGCCCTCTTTCAGGTTGGTACATGGCTAGTACCTTACTCAATGACAGCTCTCCTTTGTGCACCCAGGTACATATTCATAGTGTTGGAGGGGCTGCTGTGGAGTTGGCACATATAAGCACATGTGGGCTGGCTGATTTTTGGAATAAGGTGTTTGCTGAGATCTCTTTGATAACTAAACAAATTATTGCTCCGTCTTTCCACCTGGCACTTTTGAACCTGTGTATGGAAACAGCAGGATTTGAAAAGCAAATAAGTTATCTCTTAAGCCTGGGGCTCCACTGCCAAATACTGTAAGACCTCCAGTCTTACCCATTTGGATTGCTGGTACTCGAAGGTTTGGCAAATTGCCCTCCCTGACATCAGCTAAAAGTATCTAAAGGCTGGAGGTCGAATGACTGCAAAAGTATAGCTCATCTAAGACTTTATAGAACCTTTACTCTCAATAATGATGGAGCTCACAGGTGAATAATACTTACATTTGAACATATTTGTAAAGGGAATCTTTTCTCCTTTTTGAAGATGGGAACAACATGTGCCTGCCTCCAGTCTGCAGGGACCTTACCAATTCTCCAAGAATTCTCAAAGACAAAAGCTCTGAGATTACACCTGCAAGCTCCTTTCGTACCTTTGGGTACAGCCCATCAGGCCCTGGAGATTTGAATTCCTTTAAAGTACTTAGGTGTTTCCTTACCACCTCTTTTCCTATCTTGGGCTGTAACTCTCTCCTTCCATTGCTTATTGTGTTATGGAATTAGATTAATGAAATGGAATTAGATTAAATTGAGTCCATTAATTTCAGTGGGTCTACTCTGAATATGGCTTGGCTACCAACCAATTAAAACAAGATTACACATCCAAGGGTGGATACAATAGTAATTTTCATGTACTGTACATACAATTGCATATGGGGTCACACCTTTAAATTCATATGAATTAATTAATCTAGAACTCTATACTAACAATTGTGTAATTAGAATAGAATACTTACTACACAATCCTGACAGTCTTCAGGAAAAGGATGTCTGGGGTGTTACTACTCTGTCTTATGTGAAGCTGAGTAAGCAGTGCATGCTCAGTATTTAGGCCTAAGACTGCTATCCACAAAACACATACATCAGAGTACTCATACTTTTGTGGAATACAGTTTAATTTTAACTATATGAGTAGCACAAATGTTGTGTAATGGTTAGAATATTGGGTCAGCTCAGTGGTAGACCTCTGCCTTGCATACAAAAGATCCCAGGTTCAATCTCTGGCATCTCCAGGTAGGGCTGGAAGGACTCCTGCCTGAAAGTTTGGCAGAGGAGCTGCCAGTGAGTATAGACAATACTGTACAGGCTAGATGGTCCAATGGTTCTGACTTGGTATAAGGCAGCTTCCTATGTTCCTAGTATCAAGAAGGTCAGGACTTGAATGCCTGCTCAGACTCATCAATGTCAATGGGTGACCCTGGGCCAGTGCAATCCTCTCGTGTGTTTAGAATAAAAAGGTAAAGGTACAGGGACCCCTGACCATTGGGTCCAGTCGTGGCCAACTCTGGGGTTGCGGAGCTCATCTCGCTTATTCGGCCGAGGGAGCCGGCGTACAGCTTCCGGGTCATGTGGCCAGCATGACTAAGCCGCTTCTGGCGAATCAGAGCAACGCACGGAAACGCCGTTTACCTTCCCGCTGGAGCGGTACCTATTTATCTACTTGCACTTGTATGTGCTTTTGAACTGCTAGGTTGGCAGGAGTAGGGACCGAGCAACGGGAGCTCACCCCGTCGCGGGGATTCGAACCGCCGACCTTCTGACTGGCAAGTCCTAGGCTCTGTGGTTTAACCCACAGCGCCACCCCGCCCCGCCCCTGTGTTTAGAATAGAATTGTAATAAATAGAAGGACCTTGGAGATCAGAAAGTTCAATTCCCTGCTTAATGAAGAAATATTGCAACTACTGTACAGTATCTCTGACAGAATGCAGTAGTCTCTACTCAGGTGTCTCTAGGGAAGGAAGTATGTATTATCGTATTCAACAGCATCTACTGAAGTAAGTGTGCACAGGGTTGCAGACTTACTCTCTCAGTCTAGTGGAGTTCATGGGATTCTTGTGAAAGTATCAAAGGTGGTGGGGAGAACCACGTATGACACTTTAAACAACAACAACACTACAAATGTAGTAGAAATAATAAGTTCATTTGTGGTATTTTAACGCCATACAAGTCAAAACAGAATCTAGAGCTTTCAAATGAAGTCATAATGATTAAAATTGGCTCCTCTAAGTACCAGTTATTATAATTTTAGGAAGTTCTTAAACATACTATAAGCAAATTGTCTAGGAATAGTTACTTCTGAGTAATTTGCAGGGTGCCCTTAAAGTTTTTAGTTGCCCTCTATTAAGGAGGACGTTTCAGCCAGTTTTCCTGTCTAGAACCTATTTTATATTTCACACTTCCTTAGACTGTCTTTTACTTCAGTGCTCTTCAAAACTTCCAGGATTTTCCTTATATAAAAAAATGCCTTTTATGACCAATGTCTTATGAGTTAGTCTGCTCATGGCTAGGCCTATTTACAAGAAAATAAAGTCCACTAAACTCAGTTTATTTACCCTAAGTGTGTCTAAGACTGTGGCCCAATAGAAGACTAACAAGTAAGGATGCAGTCCTTGACATACATGCACCACAATCCTAAAACACAGAGAAAGCAGTGGAGATATGTGTGAGTAGCTGCTGGATTTTATATTTTCAATTTTTTTCACCCAATATTTGTTTCTTTTTCCCAGCAGTCCTCGGTGTATTGGCTGGAGTATCATTTACTCCAAATAATCCAGTTTCTTCCCCAAAGAATCCTGGGAGCTATATTTTACCCCTCACAGAGCTACACTTCACAGCACCCATAAACTACAGTTCCCAGGATTCTTTGCAGGAAAGCCATGACTGTGTGATAGTCTGATAGTAAAGAGTATTTTAAATGTATGGTGAGGATGTGAGGACTTAGAAGACCTAATATCAAGTCTCTACGCAGCCAGGCTCACTAAATAATCTTCAGCCACTCGCCACTTCTAGGCCCACCCTAACAAAGTGTTGTGAGGTATTAAGGAAATGGGGAAAACCCATTAGAGGAAGTAAGGGATAAAAGTGCCATAAAACAAAGTAAGCAGGAAGGGCACAACAATGGCTGGTTAGTACACCTGTAATTCATTTCAACGTGACCTGAAGAGGAGAGCACAACAGATTGTAGATTTATGGTTATTATTAAGTGCCCTTCCTCTGAAGAGGGCATGTGATTGCAGCATATATTCTGCAGGAGAAATCCACATTGCATAATGAAGGAACTTCTTGGATGAAAAACTCAAAATACAGGACACTACAAAATCATGTTGGGGCTTGTCCTGTGGAGTTGGGTCGTTCCATAATAAGGCATATCTATGAGGTCCCTTGGGCTGCGTTGCCTTGCAGGGGGTTGGACCAGACGACCCTCAGGGTTCCTTCCAACTCTACAATTCTATGAGAAAGGCAACCCTTGAAAATAAACTAAAAAGTTGCCTGTTAGCAGAAGAAAGGCGCAAGTGCTTGTTTGTTACGGAAGGAGAAGCGGCCTTGGGTCCTGAGGAGCTGAAAACGAACGTTGCCCTAAGTAAGAAGTTTCCTCTTGACGCCTCAGTCCCCTTTCACCTAAAAACACTCAGAAGTGACGCGGCCCCCTTAATCCGCGCTTCTAAAAACACGAAGCAGGCGGCTGTCGAGGCCTCCGAAGAGGCGCGCCTTCCCCTCGCGGCCTCCGAGGGTCTCCCAGGCGAGATACCCACCTTCTGCGCCTGCTGGATCATTTCGCGCGCCACTTGCTTGACGTGAGGCGCGTTGTCTTCCTTGCGCGGGTGCGTATACAGCCCGAGGCGGCTGACTCCCCGGTAGAAAGTGTTGGTCCAGCCCATGTCCAGCGGTGGGATCTCGGTGTCGGATCTGTCGGGCCAGTAAGCCAAGGACAGGGGCTTCCCCGAAGGGCCGACCACCGGCTTGCCCCCCTCGAGGTGGGCATCGTAAGCGCGCCAACCGCCCCGCAAGGCCTGCAGCTCCCGGCTGGAGAGGAAGTCTCGCAGCTGGTCCTTCTTCAGGCGCTCCTTGTACGCCTTCTCCCCCTTGGCCAGCAGGACTTCCAGCGCCCTCCGCTGCTCCTCGCTGTAGTAGTAGCGCGGGTGGTGCTCGCTGACCCGCTCGTTCACGTGAGCGTCGTCCAGGCACAGCAGCTGAGAGTCCGCCATTCTCCCGCCGCCCCGCCGCCGCAGCCACGGCTCCTTCGACTGCCGAGCTGCCAACGACACCTGGAGCCCGGCGAGGAGGGGAGGAGCCGGCATGTCCCGCCTCGCCTCACCTGGGCCGGCGCTCGCCTCCAGCAACGCGCTGCGCGGGAGCTGCGGAGTCAGCAAAGGGCCGCGGGTTGAGGCGCGCGTCTCCTGCTCCGCGTGGGAAGACCCAAAAAGGGAAGGAGAAGCCAAGCGCGCCCCGCTGCGCTCCAGGGCTTTTTTTAGCCTGACTTCGCCCCTTCTGACTTCTTATTTTGGCCAAGACTAGAGGGACGCTGACATCCACACACCACCAAAATTTAATTCATATATTCATTTGTTATCTGGCCTGTTACTTTTACTGCTCTCTTAAAGGATTTTCTTGTAATGTGAAGTTGTACTTTATATTTGTACGTGTTCTGTGTTAAGCCAATTTAGGAGAGCTCTGTCCTAAGAGGTGGGTGTGTTACGCATGAAAGCAGTTCATATTTTATTATTTACTTGTTGACCCGAGAGTGTTTTTAACCTGCTTGCCAGCCAGAAAGGCACCCAGAGCAACTGGCATACAATCCGTTAAAACAGGCCCTGTCTGCAGGCTTAGTGCAGTCAAAAGGACACAGCACGAAAGGAAAAAAGGATGTGGAAGGGAGAAAAGCAAATCCAGGGCCCAACTTAAATTCTTTTTGCCGGTGATATTCTGGCGTTTGCTTTAGTCTGCAATCCTGTGCCCACCTACCCAAGAGTAAGTCCCAATCATTTGAAGTAATTTGTGAGTAGACATGTGTAGAAGCGTATCTTTATTTTATTATTTATTTATTTATTACATTTCTATAGTGCCCTTCATCCGAAGATCACAGGGCGGTTTACAATATAAAAACACAAAAATACATACTGTAACAACAAATGAAAACAATAACGCCTCCTATATAATTACTATTTATTACATTTTTCTTGTTTATGATTCCATCCTTTAATGAACTACTATTAAAAGTACTCCAGTCCAATAGATCAATGTCTGCCCTGTTATTTTTATGACAGCCATTCTATAGGATTCCCTATGTAAGTCTCACTGCAGTTACAAGGGAACAATTTGGTCACTTGTGTCAATAGTACCGCCTGGTACAGCAGTGCCATGGCATGTATTGCTGTGTGGGAGAGCTCAGTTCCTGGTGGATTGCACTCTGCCCGCCCCCCCCAAGTGCTCTGTGATTTTTAATGGCACTACAGTTGCTAGAAGTGGGAGGAATTGCCTTCTATGGGTGGATAAAAGGTAGTCTATCTTTATCTTACAGTGTAAAATGCTCTGATGGGGTAGTATCATGTCAAACTGGAGTCTGAGCTGAACTGCTCATTGCATGTGTTGGACAAGTAATATTTCTTGGGAGAAGATGAGGAAAAATTGAGAGAGGAAAATAGCAAACATTTTGGCTTCCAGGATTTATTTGTTTTATTTTTAACAACCTAGATGGCTGGGCTGTCTGACAGGCTGCTCAGTAGAGAGGAAAAATGGAGAAGTAGATGAATTGCATGGCAAAGGTTGGTAAGGCGGCAAATGTGCTTGATAAATCAATTTATAGTACAGATTTGTAGTTTGTCAAATATGTTTGCTATGGCACTGGTGCATCAGTGTGCTTATTTGCCGTGTGCATTCATTGTACACTTAGGCCATTTCGTAACAGTCCACTTTTATGGCAAGATCGCTAGAGAGCATCACTTTGTATCTCTGCCTTTTAAAAGAAAATAGATGTGCCTGTACCAATGCAAAAGGGAAATTCCATATTTAACCATGCCGGATTGGACCTACAGGATGGGGGGGGGCATGCATTTAAACAGCTTTTGCTTCTACTAAAGCCAGTGAGATCAATATCTTGTTCCTTACTTCTGTGCTCCAGGCCTTTAAAACTGCTGCTTTTAACTGTTCTTATGGTTCTGTTTTATTTTATACTGTCCAATAAGAAACAAACATTTGTGTTGTCATCTGCTTGAAATATAATGTATTGTGGTGTTGTATGGGGTGTTAGAGGAGGGGTGGTACCTCTGGTGGGGGACATACTGTGCTCCTGGGGTAGTTTGTCCACCTTTGTCCACCCTCCACTCAGCTCTCACCTGTGGCTCCTAGAAGCTGTACACGTGCGACAGTGGCCACACCCCAGGAAACAGCTTTGACTTGCCAGCTAAACCAGGTGAGGGTAGCCAATGAATCTTCAAACCCTTGGTGACTTAGAGGCTTCCATACAGCAGAAATCTCATTTTTCCAATAATTAACCCAAGGCAGACTCATTGTTTAACTCATTGTTAAAATGCATTTCCCCCTTTCCCATTTGTGACGGAAATATATTTTGTTTGGATTGTGAATACATTGTGGAATGTAGTTGCACAAGTATCAGGTCACTGGTTGGCTAATGCCTGCTCTGTCACTAGTGATGAACTATGCAACTCTTCCTGTCTCCAAGTCTAATGGCATTTTGTGAGTTATATAGTCTATTTCCTATGTTTTCCTGTTAAATTTTAGAGGATGACTGCTGTACCATTGCCTAAACCAGAGAAGCCACCCTTCAGTACACCATGATTTCCCCGTGCTTAGTTTTATAGGCCTTTTCCTCCTCCCCTTTTCTAGCATTTCAACACACTCTGCTTCTTGCTCCCTACATTGCACCTCACCCTGTAATACAGGATTGCTGGACTGTCCATAAAGGCCATAAAGATGCCACAGAAGTATGTTTTAAATGAGTCATCTGGTTAAGCCCTAATAATTTAAAACAAAAATAAATGGAGATGAACCAAAATGGCAGCCTTCTGACTGAGTAACAATACTAATTTAACTATTTTGTTGTTTGAAGTTCACAGAAACCTTGGGCTTCTGTCTTCCATACAGGTGTGCTTCACCGCCTGCACGTAATTAGACCCAGTGACTTAAGAGGGATTGTTCACATAAATTAATTGTATGCAAATAATGAGACAGAAGGCCAAAACCTGTCCTGTTCCCACTTCTTGTAAAAGTATTCCCATTAAGCTTCAGATGTGTGGCAGCTTGAACATATATGAAAGCTGCATTGGACTGTCTAGTCCAGTATTATATGTCTGGTTTGAGACAGGTGTTTTCCCCAGCCCTGGTACTCCAACCAGAGTTGCCGGGGATTGAAACGGAAACCGTCTGCATGTGCAGCATGTGCTTCCCTACTGAGCTGTGGATGATTGGAAGCCTGTCTCCGATCCCCAATTTCCCCATGAGCCACACTGTACAGGACTACAGTCTCAAAGAGGCTTACAAGAAAAAAATACAGGGCATACAAAATTTGCAACATACGGTAGTTCAAAATATCAGGAAATAAAAATATTAAACCATTCATAGTGCCAAAGCCTCCTGAAATAAAATTGTTTTAACCACGCACGAAAAACCATAGTGCCTGCCTGATTTCTAATGGGAGACAGTCCCATAGAGTTGGACCCACTATAATGAAGGCATGATTCCTCATTGACATGAGTTGTGCTTCTGGTCCGTGGGAGAACCACTAATAGGGAGTCCCTATATATGATCTCAGTAATCAGTCTGGGACTTACGGGGTCTTTGTGAATGAAACTTGCCAAGTCCCACCAAACAACGCTGTGGCAAGAAGAAGAAGAAAGAAAAGCTGTCCCCATGGCACAAGGCTTTTTACGTACGAGACTTCAACATTTACGCACGAGACTTCAACATTTTTTTGCCTAAATCAGTTTGTAATCTGAATGTAAAACATACATGGAAAAGAATGCACATGTAAATTATAAATGTCTCTTCTGCTCTTCATTCCATGTTAACATAAAAGCTGCACATAAGTAGTGAGAGAGAGGCTCCAAAGTGGCCATTAAAATCTTACGGGCAAAAATGCTTCTAATTCTGCTTTACCCTCTGTTCGGTGGAAGGCTCTACCCATTTGTTCTGAGTTATCTAATACAGTACAGGGATGGAGATAAACCTTATTTTTCAGCAGGCCAATAAACCTGAAGATGCGAAAAGTGCAAAATAATGTATTCTGTTCCTTCCTACTACATTTTTAATTGGATCCATTTCTTTACATGCCATCTACTTTTTATCACATTGGCTTTAACAGGAATGGGATCAGGAGATGTATGGAGTAAATAATAGAAAAGAAGGCCTATTTCATGCCTTTATATATGCTAGTTTTCTCCCAGGCAAATCTTATTGGCTGTATGCTTATGTTCCTGGCCTGGTTCCAGATAATTCCCAAAGCTACTAAAATGTCCTTTCAAGAAATATGGCCTCTCATTGAAATCTTCTCATTACTTAGCTTTGAACCTTCCTCTGCCAAATGCCTCCCACGTATATTCTGGTTACTTGGCCCTAATTACTTCACTTTACAGCGGCTTGCAGGTTGTGTACTACTAGATAAAAGATGTGACACCTTATATTTAACATTTAATTGTAGCTGTGTTTGTCTTTAGTGTATGTGTCCCTTGCCAGTCTCTCCTGTGTAATTTTAGTCCCTAAATAGCCTGCCTCATGATATATTCTTAGTTAAATTCCCTAGTGGTGCTTTTCTTTTCCTCCTTGTAGCAATTTCCGTCACAAACTCTTGCTATAAAACTTTTGATACCCAGTTCTTCAAATGCAAAATCCTCATTTGCTGCCTTTTCACTTTAACAGCTAGCTCCCTGCTCCACTTCAAATGCACCAATAAACAGTTTCCATGCTAAAAACAACTAGTGCAATATGCCAAATAAAAGCGAGCTTTGAGAAGGAAAGTGAATAGTGATTAGGATGAGATACAAATCTCTGAAGAACGGTGAGGTTCATACCTTTGGTCTCATGCTTTGGCAGTAACCCAAAAGTTTATGGTCAGATGTTTGGTTGTGGTTAAGAACATAAGAGCCCTGCTTTTTCTGAGTATCACAGTATTGCTCTTGAGGTCTTGTGATATCATCTCTTTGAAGCTGGAGAATTACTAAGAATTCCAAATAGTAGCATATTTCACCAGAGGCATTTGAACATTGTTGTCATCATTTATATATATATATAATAATGGTTTGTCATGTGGTTGACAACAAACACGTTTTAAAAACTGTTATTACCCTCCAGTACCAATAATTATTATTCTTCCCACGGACTGTGAATGCAATCAACAACCTCAGTGTGTAGCTCCTTTTTTCTTTGTATGTTTAATTGTCATTTCATTTCATT